CCTCCAGACCTATCCTCCAGACCTGACCTCCAGACCTGACCTCCAGACCTGTCCTCCAGACCTGTCCTCCAGACCTGTCCTCCAGACCCTTCCTCCAGACCTGTCCTCCAGACCCTTCCTCCAGACCTGTCCTCTAGACCCTTCCTCCAGACCTGACCTCCAGACCTGTCCTCTAGACCCTTCCTCCAGACCTGACCTCCAGACCTGTCCTCTAGACCCTTCCTCCAGACCTGACCTCCAGACCTGTCCTCCAGACCTGTCCTCCAGACCTGACCTCCAGACCTGTCCTCCAGACCTGACCTCCAGACCTGTCCTCCAGATCTGTCCTCCAGACCTGTCCTCCAGACCCTTCCTCCAGACCTGACCTCCAGACCTGTCCTCCAGACCTGTCCTCAGGAGATCACACAAAAACAAAAACATACAGAAAACAGATTTGTTMTTCATTATCTTTATATTTTAGGTCAAARGTTCAAATTTAATCCTTCAAAACAATATTTAAAGTTTCTAAAGAAATGTTCCCAAACAGCTTCTGCCCAAAATTTGACCTTCAATCAACTTTCTTATAAAAAGTCTTAATTTGAACCAGACTTTTATTTTGAAATGTATCTATGAGCCTTCTTTTGTAGTCAGGCTGCTTCAGTCATCTCTAATGATAGAAACATATATATAATTAGTTTTTTTACAGTGTAGTAAGATTATTTTACAGAAACTAAAGGTGTAATATATAAATCTCATCTAAGAGCTGATTTATTTCTTCTTCGGTGTTTTTYTTGAACGCTCCTCCTCGGCTCCACCGCCTGCTGAGGATGAAGGTGAGAATGAAAGCAGGATGCTGAGACGGACATGAGTCAGCTGTTTAAAAACCTCCCAGGTTCTGAGGGGGCCCGGCGGGGGCGGCCTCAGCTGGSACTGGGTCCCTGCAGTGGGTCTGTGATGGTGGAGATGTCGGTTTGAATCCCAGTACAGAGTCTCTGCATACTTCAGACCAGAACCTGGCGGAGCTGCTGGGTTTCAGGGGSTCAGCTGTGGCAGTACCGTACGGTGACGGGACATGACCGGATTATGCTTCAGGACAGTTGTCTTCCCCGTCTCGTCGGTTCGGTCTGGAGTGGTGGGTGTGGGTGGGCAGCGGGCCTCAGTCGTAAACAGAGACGCTGTTTGAAGATGTCGCCTACGCCCACATCGTGCTGAGCACGGCTGTTAGATCTGCACATCTGGAGCAGCAGTAGTTAGTTAGAGAAGGCTCTGATAAAAGATTCTGACACCTTTCCTCCAGTTTCACACGACAACCTGATACACATTTACCAACACCTGTTGTTTGTCTCCTCTGACAGAAAATGTCCCGATGGATTRGACTGTCTGAAAACAGGAAGAAACCCAAACTATGGGTACACCAGCTTTGACACCTTTGGGTGGGCCTTTCTCTCACTGTTTCGTCTGATGACACAAGACTACTGGGAGAACCTCTACCATCAGGTACTGCTGGTGCAACACACAAACTATCATGTGACTAAAGAACTAACACAATGACATCACACCCCGTGTACGAACGTTTACAAAGTTAACGTACTTAAAAAAGTTTGAGCTTGTGAAAACAACACAAAAGATGGAGAGATGAAGAAAACAAACAAGCAGGAAAATGACAGTTCTCCACCTTATTTTAATTGATTTATTGCTAATCACAGCAGGCCTCCAGGTTAATAAAATAAAGAAGAATTATTCACACCTGACATTTGTTTCCCCTGATGATCCGGACAGAGCCGGCTCTTGGCATAGGCAAACTAGGTGGTCGCCTAGAGCGCCATCTGCTGGAGGGGGCGCCGAACTGCAGAAGAAAAAA